GAATCGAGGTTCAGTCCTATTTGGTTAATGTATAGACATGTCTAGTATCAATCCAATTCGACCCGCGCATCACCTGAAACACATAGATTTATGTGTCATATAATTCGATTTGGGTAGTGCATCACTTGACCTGAGGCATATGAGTTGCATGGTTGAGAGGGTTCAAAACTAACTCACCCCGATTCATGTAGACCCCTAATCATAGTTCATTTTATTGGTCTCCTTTCCTTAAAACTAACGAACACGGAAAGAAAAACAATGAAATACACAATAGATGTCAAACAACATAAAACAAATTAAAAATTGATAAAAAGCTTATTCTACATTTACATGAGATAAGTGTAAGAAACTATTATCATGCTTTATTAGAACCTTGGTAGGTCCAAACAAATTGGGATTAAAAAAATTTATATTTTCTTGTTATCTAGTTGGCCTTTCTCGCTAAATGGAGAGTGAAGCAGTTGTTGATATCTCATATTATCTCATAATAATATCTTATATTATTAACCATTTTTGTAGTCCGTGATGATTTTCAACAATACTTAGTTACCATTCATCGGTAAAATGGGGGAATGAACATATATTGAGTGAACAATGCACAAATAGGAAAGCTACGCCTAACCATAAGGACTCATATAATAAAAACTCTTGGAGAAAACATGTAAAATTTCAAAAAAAAAAAATCATTGAATAATAACATTCAACTTGTTGTGAGTGAGGAAGAGAGTTAGAAGGTTATCGATCGAGCACAACTTTGACTTGGATCATGAAATATACAATGAATTAACTGCTACATAGAGTGATTGCATATCCATATGATAAGCGAATTCAACAGTAAAAGTGAACGCATACATATGATTATTATTCATAAGCCTAACATGTACAACACCTTACCTCTAATTCACTAACAAAAAAAAAAATTCATTGTCCATACAACTTAACACACCACTAATCGTTGTCTCTTACAAGTCCAATATATTAAGAAAAAATAAGAACATTCATAATATAATTTGTTGGATCCAAGTTCTATCAACCAGTTAATTCGTTGGATACACAAATCCGATCAAGTAAAGATGGAAGCAAAATGATAGAATTGTAGCAATCACTTATATATGTAGCAAAACTTAACAATTGAACAGAGGGACAAATTGACCAAATCCAAAGCAATATAAAGCACTAAGTTTCATGACCAACAACCACCAATAAGACCACGTTGTAAATTGGAAAAAGAAAGTAAGATGTGCACAGTGAGCAACATATATTAGCATATGAATTTTCCTCATTATTAAATTTATTCAGGTTTCATTTTTTTGAAATCAAATTGAACCGTTTAAGCCTCTTAATAGTTCATTTTAAAGGATATTACTTGTTCAAATTTTTTGGTTTTTATTTTTGATTTGATGTAGTTACTGAAATCAATCTCCCATCCTAGTCATACATATAACAACTTTGATCAAATAATAAAGACCTTTTCTTTTAATATATTTGAGTGTATGTGAGGGATGGGGTAAGATGACAAACCCTTTCATCCTCGCTAAAGTTCAGGTAATTCTTTACTACATTTTCACAAACCTAAAGAACTTGAATATATCATTTGTCTGTGGTATCCTATTCGTGATTTTCAATGGTTTAACCCAATCACACAAAGAGTTTTCCTGAGAGTAGTTGACACCTGACCTAATTAGTAATAAAAAGAAAATGAATTCATCATCAAGCCCTTTCATCCTCGTTAAAGTTCAGTTAATTCTTTACTACATTTTCACAAACGTAAAGAACTTGAATATATCCTTTGTCTGTGGTATCCTATTCGTGATTTTCAATGACTTAACCCAACCACACAAAGAATTTTCCTGAGAGTAGTTGACACCTGACCTAATTTGTAATAAAAAGAAAATGAATTCATCATCAATGTTTACTTCCCTCATAGCAACAATGAAAAAATCAATTAATTAAGATTTTGGATAATCTGAAGACTAAAATGAAAGATGGCAAAGTGTGCCATACATAGGACTATCAGTTCGGATTCAATTTCTTGAATTTCAACTAAACGAACAGATAAGGTGCTCTTATCGTTTTTTGGTTTCGGTCTCAAACTTTTTGTGCTTAGCATTTTTTGTTTGGTCAAAATTGAAAAACTGAAAACAATAAAAATAAAATCACAACCAATACACAAACACTCAATATTCAATTAAGCCTTGGGTTTCATTTTCTTGAAATCAAAATGAACCCGCTTAAGCCTCTGGTTTCAAGGAAATTATTTTACTCGATTTTATTTTCGACTCGATTCGGCTAAACAAAGAAATCTTCCCCTTTGTTATATATACAATATCTTTGACCATATGATAAAGTTTTTTTTAATATATTTGAGTGTGTGAGGGATGGGGTAAGATGGCAAGTTCTTTCATCATCACTAAAAGACAAAAATTAAAATAGTAACTTTGGCAAAAAAGGGAGCTTTTATATATAAGATAATAATAATTCCTACATGCCAATTCCTAAAATTGTTAGTATATGATGGATCCAATCCAAGCGATTTAATGAGAAACCCTCTAGAATACACATGTCTGCCACAAAAATTTGGGAAATTTAAAGACTTTTGTTGAGGGAAACGGTATCGTTTCCATGTAGATAGATTATTGGTTCATGTATGAACCGGTTAGATAGGTTAGATGTTAACCAATGTATAGTTAATTGAGTTGTATAGTCATATATATAAAGGGAGACAACTTTATTCAAATCCTCATTCAAAAGTAACACCAAACCAAACCAGGCCAACGAACTAATCAACCAAACAAAAAGCAGATTCAAAAATTACACACTTTATTTATGACATATATGTAACCATAGCATGATAATTCCTTCCTCCAGCTTCCACAACCATCGTCGCCGTGACATCAACCACCGATGCAACGAGAGTACACCGGAGCCAAGGGCGCAGCTTTCCTAGCCACCTCTTCTTGCTTGATGCGGCTCACCGCAGCAGCAGCAGCAGGTTTGAGGGCCGCCGGCGCCGCAGCCTCTTGCTTGATACTGACGCCTTGTTCCTGCTTCACCGCTGCAGCTTCCACCACCCTGGGAGTGGCCAAAGGGCTTGCAGCATAGAAACCAGAACTCCTCTGCATCTTTGCTTTCAAGTTGTCTTGATTAGCAACCAAGTTGTTACTATAGAGTTAATTCTTTTGCCGATTAGCTATAGTGCTTGGATAGAAGAATCGTGCATATGATGGATCATGTTCATGCACAACTATAACTTAATACTATTGGGGAATCCTAGGAGTTCTTCTTGGGGGTGGCTAAATTTGTGGGTTTGCTCGTTCACTTCGGTGCACCATTACTATGGAATCCCACTCGTTTTTATCAAAGAACTTTTATTTTTTGAAAGGGGTTTTTTTTATCAAAGAATTAAGCTGCCCAACGAATGGGTATTTTCTATTTTGATTCAAGTATTAATGCAACCATTTATGGCGAGAACAGTTGATTTTCTTTAACTAATTCTGGCAAAGACCTAGCAAAATCTAGGGATACTAATAAGTTCCATTTCGGTTAACCATAAATTGATTTAGCGATTAGTGATTAATCATTTAGCAAAAAATAGGGTTGGCAGTCTGTCGGTTTCGGTTTAACCGAGACACGACCAGCTGCTGTCGTCGACTGACCGCCCCTCCAGCTTCGGTTAGCCACAAACCGACCGGTTTTCGGTTTCGGCGCGGTTTAACCGGGGCAACCAAAATTTGAAGGCCGGTTCGGTTGGAGCCACCTAACTGACCAGTAACCGACCAAACCGACCGGACAGCAAGGGAACAAAAACTAAAATCGCCTAAAATTAAAATCTCAAACCTACATTTCAATTCCTTTTGCATCGAAAATACATCTAAATTAGCAACTTAATGTCTCACATTCATTAATTCAACAACATAAGCTCCACAAATCACAATAATCCTCTAGATAACAACAAATCAGCAACACTTCATCATCTATCATCACTTATCACCAGCCTTAGAAGAACCAACATCTGCATAACCCTGTTCATTCAATTGGGGCAACAAGTCATGACCATAATCATCATATCCATCTTTCTCATACTCTTCCTTCGGTACTTCTTCTTCACCCTGCTGCTCATTCTCTACTGGAATGTTGAGGCTTGCATCTGCATTGCCAAAATTGCCAGTATTCGTTGCACCTTCCATTCTAGTTTGAAAAGTGGCATTAACTGTGTAAGAAAAAAAAAGGAAAATAAAGTGTTAGTACATTCAGTGGCGGTGCCAGAAAATTGGCCAAGGGGGTGCTTGTTCATGTAATCAAAAAGTCAACTATACAATAAAAAAGTCAACTTTAAACGAAATTATGATGTCAATAACATAATACCCAAGATTCGTACAATTACATAATAATAGTTCTACACACATCTCCTACAATGAACCTCGACGAGATTTCATATTCTGAAAGCATTCTAGAACGCATTCCTTGTCCAAACTAGCACACAAATCTTGTTCAATATATGTCACCATCGCATCATTCAACCATTCATCGTTCATCCGATTTCGAAGATCATTCTTGATATATTTCATGGATGAAAATGATCTCTCCACACTTACAGTTGCAATTGGAAGAATAAGTGTCAACTTGAGAAGCAAATAAACATGTGGATACAATTTGTGCTTTTTTGTTTCCACCATCTTTTTTGCTAACTCATCAATTCCTTGTAAGTCTTTGAACCTGTCATCAAATGGTAGATCACAGATATAGGAATTCAACTGATGCCCCAAAAATTTCATAACACTTGGAGTGAACTCATTGGGGTAGAAAGTGGCAAGCTGCATAAGTTTCTCCTTGTCAAAAGCAGCAAATGAATCCTGTGGACTTAAGCAAGCCATAGACAACAACAACTGACAATTGACCTCGTCAAATCGATTATTAATCTCTTGCAACTGCATATCTATGACGGTGTAAAATACCTCAACCTGAAAGTGATGTAAGCATGTGACTCGTTCACTTATGCGTTACGACTTTCCACGACGAACATATATGTCATCGATGTTAGGAACTTCAATAGATTCTTGAGCACAAAAGTGTATCGTCTCTTTAAAGAGAAGCTCCCATCCACTATCCCTCATTTCCTGCAGCCGTCTTTTAGAAACATTCACAAGATGCACAACATTAACAATATCTTGGTCTTTATTCTGCAAAGCTATAGACAACTCATTAGTGATTGCCAATACCTCGATCATCAACTTCATCATGAATACAAACTCAAAATCTTCAAGTTGAATCAACACAAGAGATGCTTGAGCAACTGCTTTTCTATCTCCTTCAAGATTTTGCAAAGTGTCAACCAATGTTGAAAACAAGGTTTCTAAGTTAACCAATGTCCCAAAATGGGATCCCCAACAAGTATCAGAAGGCCTCTTAATACCAATTTCCTGATTTAATCCACGCCTAGTCTCCAATTCACCTGATGCAATAGCTTCTTCAACTTTGCTACATTGAGTTTCACGAATGATATCCTGTCTTTTACATGATGCCCCAACCAAATTAGTCACTGTGCCAACAATAAAAAAGAAGAGATTGACATCATCATGATTTTGGGCAACAGCAACAAGAGCTAATTGAAGTCGATGTGCAAAACAGTGAATATAATATGCAGATGGACTTTCTTCCAAAATTAAAGTCTTCAGTCCATTAATTTCACCTTTCATATTGTTAGCTCCATCATAGCCTTGGCCCCTTACTCTTGAGATACTCAATCCATGTTTAGTAAGCATTGATTCAATTGCCTTCTTGAGAGACACTGCTTTAGTATCACTAACATGTGAAACACCAAGAAATCTCTCAATAACAAATCCTTTTTCATTCACATAGAGTAAAACAACACCCATTTGCTCCTTCACTGACACATCTCGAGATTCATCTGCCAATATAGCAAAGAAGTCATCACCAATATCCATGGTGATTAACTTCGTCGTTTCAAGAGCCAATGCATGAACAATGTCCTTTTGAATGTCTGGAGAAGTTAGTTGATGATTCTTTGGAGCATTTTCCATCACAACTCTCTTGACATGTTTTATATCACTAGCATAAAACTCCAACAAAGACAAGAATAAACCTCTATTATTTGAACCTTCTGACTCATCATGTCCACGAAATGGCAATCCATGCTTTAATAACCTATTTATGCATTTAACTGAAGGCTCTAATCGAATTCGATAATCCATTTTAGTTTGATCAGTATTCTAGCCATTTATATTGATCAAACCAAGAAGGATCGAACCTTCGCCTCCTTTCACCAAACTCCCTAAATGGAAAATTATGTGCACGAGGTTGATGGGGACCTTTTAAGAGGTAGGCTCTTCTAATTTCATCTTGCACATTAGGATGAAAAATAGATATTTTCTTTCTTAAACCAGGATCGGCTTGAAGAGAAACTCTATTAATCTTCCATTCTTCAGAAAGAGAGGGAGAATTTCTTTGAAGTTCTTCTATAAGTTGAGGTTCTTGTGATTGTCTCGATTGATTTACTGATGAAGATTGTATGCACGGTTGGGGAAAAGTTGCAGCTTGCTTGCTACCTCGTGATTTCGTCTCTTTCATTTCCGGAGAAGTAGTTTTTTCTTTCCTCGAATAATATCTCTTTATCTAATTTAAAAATGAAAATCAACTTCATTATATGAACAATTCAGTCCACGTTCTTAATTTGAAGATGAAATTGAGTATACCAAACACACAAACCTAACCCTAAATTAACACAAATAACAAAACTTCAAGCAATAGAAATTAAAACTTAGATTTTACCTTGTTTTTAAGATTGATGATGTGAGCCAAAGCAATTTTTGTGCTGCCGGCTTGTTGCTCCAATGCTCCCCTGTCCTGCTCACGATTGAAAAGAGAAGGAAGCTTGGAGGTCAGCGAGTGCTTGGAGGTCGGCGAGCTTGGAGGGCGGTCGGTGGAGGTTTGGCGAGCTTGAAGCCGAAGATGGAGAGCTTGGAGGGTGGACTCGCCGCCGTTGGAGGATGGAAGCTTCAAGCTTGGAGGTCGGCGAGCCGCGAGTGCACTTGCAACGCCTCTGCTACTGGCTGCCGTTGGGTCGTGGAAAAAAACGAAAGTGAATTGGGAATTTCTGCCTGGGATCGACGACAGTGTTTTGATATTAGGACAGATAATTACTATTGGTATAATTAAAGGTGTGTGTCTAATGAATAAAAAATCTCTTCTAGCAGAGATGGTGGGATTTCTTACCATCAATTATTGGGTCAGATGTTCGACCCACAGCCCTCACTATATATGCTTAGTTTTTTTTCCCACAGCCAAGGGGGCTGCATGCACCCCCCTCCATTATGCACAGCTCCGCCACTGAGTACATTCATACATTGAATTAAGTGGAAAGAAGGCAAAAAACTGAACAATAAGAGAGTTTCAGAACTCACTACTTTCCAAAGTCAAATTCTCTTCATCATCTTCCTTATTGTCAATCTCCCTGGATCCGTGATACCTTATCCAATCCTCAACACAAATCAATGCCTCCACCATTAGGTCGCTCAAAGAGGACCTGAATGGACTGAGAATCCGCCCGCCACAGCTGAATGTTGCCTCTGAGGCAACAGAAGATATGGAAACAGCTAGGACATCCTTAGCCATCTCAGCAACAATCGGATATATTCCAGAGTGTCGAGACCACCAATCCAATATGTCAAACTTTGCATCGTCACTCTCGTCAGTGATTCCATCAGTTTGACATTTCAAATAGATGTCAAGCTCAGCAGAGCTACCTCCTGTTTCCAGCAGAAGTGCTTCCCTTTTTCTCTTTCTAAGCCTCTCCTTCAATATCTTAATCCGATAACCAGCACCTACACCAGAACCATCATCAGCAATGTTATCATCCGTGATAGATTGAGATGCAGACTCTGATCCATACTTCCTTTTATAAATCTCAAACATCTGGCGCATCTCCCTTTTAATAGAACTCTGAATTTCCCCTCATTTGATACGTCCATAAATCATTCCAACACTTCAAACACCAGATCAAGTTTACTTCTAGAATCAAGCACACATGCTATATAAATTAAATGATTCACCTTCGTATTCTCCTCATTCATGACAGGTGTCGTAAACCAATACTTTTGTACCTTTTTCAACCTTTTCTGCCATCTTTTTGAGCTCTTCATGCGGATCACTCTTCAATTCCTCAATGATGTCATAAACTGGAACAAGTTTCTTGAAGAAAAGATGGGTAGTCACATATTTAGTTCATGTACAATGAGAATAGAATATAGGAAATTAGACTTAAACAAACCAAAATTGTCAAATGATCAAATTAAAATAAACAAAGTGAGAAAAAATTCCACTTACCCGAGACTGAGAGGGTAAAGTCATTAAAGACTTTCAGATACTTCATCTACTTACTAATCAGCTGCCAATCTTGTTCAGTTGGAAGACCACCTCTTGCGTCAACATAATCCCTGAAAGAATGGTCATGTATACTTGTATACAAAGTAGTAAACACTCCACCAAACTTTTCTGCTGCTTCTAACATGATATAGGTGGAGTTCCACCTGGTCGGTACATCCAAACACACCAATTTGGTTGACTCCACTCCAGAAATTGCATGGCAGTCTTAAACCTTTTCAACCTAACTGGTGATGACCTCACCCACTTCACACAATCTCGAACTTTATCCACAGCTCCTCCGATTACTTTCAATTTATCCTGCACCACCAGATTAATGATGTGTGCGACACAGCGAAACTGCAGATACTTCCCATCCATCAAATCACAACCGCACTACTTTAATTTCGTTCTCATGCAAGCACTCACAATATCATTTGTAGATGCATTGTCCATGGTCATGCAGAACAGATTCTTCACCTTCCATTCTTCAAGAATTTCTGCAAGCTTCTCTGCAATATCATTTCCTGTATGACTTGTGATGGGAACAAAGGAGAGAACCTTCTTCTGCAACTTCCAATCAACTCCAACAAAGTGAGCAGTCACACACATGTAATTTTTGTTGTTGTCAGATGTCCATGTATCTTGGTGATTGAAACTCTGCCTTTGCTCTTTGATTCAAAAAACTCTATCAAATTCATTTTTTTCTCCAAGAATATATGAAAGCAATCATCTCTTATACCTCTCATCCCAGGTATCTTAAACAATGGCTGAACCGTTTGCATAAACTGCTTAAACCCTTCTCTTTCCACAAAGCAAAAAGACAACTCATCCATAATAATCATCATGGCTAAGGCATATCTAGCTTTTGCTTGATCAAACTTCCATAAAGCACTTACTTGACTTTGACTACCATCTGCGGCCTGCAAGTTCAGAACAGTCTGATCCCTGGATGCTGCAACCTTAGCCATACATGATTTCCGATAGTTATTCATTGCAGAAGTGTCGTTCTTGGATGGATGTGCTTTGATTTTAGTATGACAATGCTTGCACTCTCTCATCGGATACTCATCCACCGCCACCTTCGTAGAATCCTTCCAGCAATCAGCTGTACCCTTTGTCTCCAACCATTTCTCTAGATTGAAGGGATCGTCTTTAACTTTATTTGAAGCTGGATTAACCATTTCTACTGAAGGAGTCTCAGCGACAAGTGTACTTCAACTACCGGCATGGGAGGGAGTCGATGCAATTGATGCTGACGCCGACGGTTCAGCAGACGGAACAGGCCGACTCCCTGTACGTCCACCACGACCCCGATTTTGAGCAGGAGGGGCTGAGGCACCCGCACCACCACGACCTCGAGGAGCCGGAGGTCTCCCACCACGAGAAGAAGTATCACCGGAAGGTGCACCTCATCTGCCACGTCCACCACGTGGAGCTGGAGGTCTCACCCCACATCAATAGTTACACAAATTAAAAATTGAAAAAAAAACATCATTCATCATCACTAAACCTATATAAATTATAAGCAGATTGACATCCCATTTCCACATGAATGGTATTCACCAAAATCATCATCATTCATTCAAAATAATCATCATTCACCAAAATCATCATTCTTCATTCATAAATCAATCATCATTCATTCTAAATTTCTAATAAACTTACATAGTATTAATCATCATCATTCATTCAAAATCACCATCATTCACTAAAATCATCATTCTTCATTCATAAATCAAATCATCATTCACTCTAAATCATCATTTGACATTTCTAATTAACTTACATAATATTATTCATTCAAGGAGCAGCCGAGCAGACTGCAGGAGGGCCTCGTGAATAAGAAATTTTGGGGGGAAACGTGGTGGGGGTTGTGACGGCGGGAGGGATTATGTTGACGCAAGACTGGGTTTTAATCCATCCCGCGGACTCCGGCAGGGCTGCCCTCTCTCGCCTTATTGTTCACGCTGTGTATGGAAAGCGGTGATGGGAGGACTGGGGGAGGGTTTCCGGTTGTGACGGCGGGCGGCGCGGCGGGTGATGGCGGGTGGCGCAGCGAGTGGAGGGGCAGCGCGATTGGAGGGAGGCGGCGATGACGATTGTAGGCGGGCGGCGAGACGGAGTTGCGGGGAGACGATCTCAGGGGAGGGAGCAGGAGGATTGGAGGAAGGCGGAGTCGACGAAGATTGTGCACCAAAGGTCGCCGACGGGTTGGCCACTTGGTCGAGATAGAGAGATGGGAGTGTAGAGGCGGCAGGGCGATTCGAGGGAGGCGGAGTCGTCTCCGCTGCTGTGCTATGTGGGAGAAGGAGTGGGCCGGCTGCGCGATTGTGAGGGGAGTCACCGCCGTTGCTGAGAAGAAGGTTGGGCGTCGGCGATGCAGAAGGCTGGAGGCGACTGGGCATCTGGCGATGTCGACTGTGAGGGTCTGAGGGAGGAATGAAGTGTTGGGTACAGCTCAGCAATCAAACCCAACGGGATGCAATTCTGCCGGTTTGGTAAATTGGTGCTCAAAGATGGAAGGTGGCAAATTCAAAGGGAACTAAAGAAGGAAGGCTCAAACGGCTACTGCCAGGAGGAGTGTGTATACAAGTTTGAGATCAAAAGTAATATGCAAAGTTTTCGAGGCAATTCAAACAAGAGAGCTAAGGGTATTACAAGGGTTTGAGTGAAAAGTCAGCACAGAAATTGAGTGAGATTTCTGGGTCTGGGTTTTAGGGAAACAAAGGTGTATCGGCTGGTAGCTGATAGGTGAATAGTGTCGATTGAGCGGGGAGCTAATTGGCCGGGTTGAGTGTTGTATTGTAATCTCGGAGCTTAATCGAACATA